CTCTCTCTCTCTCACCAGATGCAGCTGAAGAGTCTGATCATGTAGGTGCTCTCCTGCTGTATACAAGGCAAGTGGACCTTCCCTTCCACCTCTCCTCCTCTCTCCTCACTGTGCCTCGCCTCCCTTCTGCTATGGTGAGTGCATGTGCACACAGCGTACCGCCAGTGCTGCTTCACTGGGGTCTTCACTGGGGTGCTGGCTGTCTTGCTTGCCGCTAGCTACTCTGCAAGTGCTTGTGCGCACAAATGCCCGCTGCCCTGATCTGCTTGCTCTGACCTAGCCTGCTCTTTTGGCCCGCGTCTGGGCTCCCGGGCAAGTGGGAACTGCCTCCAGCATGGTCTCTACCGGGTCAGGTAGTGTGCCTGATTGGGGATCCGACTTGGGGCCAACAGGCAACTAACTACCTGTTGCATCATGACCATGACCCCTGCTTTGCTGGCGTTGGCGTTCACTCAGAGCTGCAATGACCTTGCAGCCTTGCATCTCAACTTTCAGGAAGTAATCTCGTGGTTGCAGCTACAGTATGCCAGAGACAGCCAATCTGCTACGTGGAGTGCGGATGCAGATGTAAACAGAGGAGCGAGCTAACCGAACAATTTTTATTTTATTTTTTTCGAAGTGATTACTACCCCCCAAAGGCCCTAACATTGTTGTGTCCACTGTGAGTCCATCAGGATCTGAAATCAGGTATGTGCCAAATTCAAAGGCCCTTTAACGCCCTTTAAACTGCTTTAAACGGCTTTAACCCCCTGTAAACCTCTTTAAACCCCAATTATACCCTCCAGACAGCCCTACGATCCCCCGAACACAATGCACCCTGATTATGACTGTATGGTACTCGGAAGAGAGCTTGAATATATTCAGAATGGGGGTGCTGAGTTCAAAGATAAGGCCGGATTCTGACAGCTCAGACTGAGTGCAGACCAGGCCCGAAGCCAGATTAAAAAAAAAAAAAAAAGAAATTTGGTCAAATTTTCACCTGCCCGGCCCCTGCGAGTGGGGTCTTGACTTGCCTGGACCGAACCGCCATGCCAGGCGGGCTCAGTTGGGCGACTCTGGTCACCTGACCAAATTGTGTTAAAATTTAGAGAGAGAAAAAGGAAGAAAGAAAAAGGTTCAACGCACAAGCAAACGAATGTCCTTTGGGACGTCTCTGAAAATTGGAACGAGACAGAGAAGATTAGCATGGCCTCTGCTGAAGGACAACACACATAAATTGAGAACAAGGAGGATGCCCGCCGCGACTGCGGCGGGGACTAGGAGCAGGGTCTTATACACATCTAGATGTGTATAAGAGACAGCTTGAC